TCTCCTCTTGTAGCCAGTAGTTTAATTTGGATGTGCTGTACATAATTATTTTCCTGATAATAATCTTTTAATCGAATGTTATTTAATAATTTCTGAGAAAGACTGGCATTTGAAAATTTTAAACTCAAAATGAAAAACAGTTTCTTGTAATATTCGTGGACTACTAATTTCCATTAAGTTGAATATGTTATTTTACAGCAGTGTTTTGTAAAGGATTGGAAAACTCAAGCATTCATGCTGTGCAGTTAAACACTTGAGGGGTTTTTCGCTCAAAGAATTTACTATTTTAATTTGAAAATTAATGAGAATTTGCGCAGTTTTTTTATATACCAGAAATTCCAATTTGTAATACATAGTTAGAACTATGTAAGAATCAACGTTTAAGGAGGTATTAGAAAAAAAAATATTAAGTGAAAAATAAACTTTTAAAAGGTAGAATCTATCAACTTTTCAATTAAAAGCTGATTTAGTTGAGGAACAACCTTCAAAATTTCTGAAATTGCTTTCCAGTTGTCTGTATGTTAGTGTACATATATATCAGCCATTTAATTTGGAAATTTTACAAACTTTATGTTATATGATGTGTACATAAGTTTTGAAATATAGTATACACATTGCACGATAAGTTCATATAATGTATTAAGCATTACACTTCAGTTTTGGTTTTACTTCAACTGGCATTTGATGCTTCATACTTTAGATTATTTTAAGTTTGATTTTTTCGATCTTGGTATCTTTACGTCCTACGTTTTGCAAATAAAATTTAATATCTATATTTTCTATAACGTAATTTCTATTTTTCTAGTTAACTTTCTAAGAAAATTTGACGTTTGTATTATCCGTAATTCCTATTTGTTTTTGCGTATTACTTACTCCAAATGTTTAACTAAATATGTTACTGGGATTGAGCTAAGGGTCTAGCATGACCTAATGGTTAAGGCGCTCGAATTGTAATTTGTGGGTCGCAAGTTAAGATCCCGTCATCGAACGTTTAAGCTAAGGGCCTGATGGTTAGGGCATTCGAATCGCAATCTGAGGTAAGGGTCACGCGTTCAAATCCCGTCGTCGAATATTCACTCCCTTTCAACAGTGGGGGCGTTGTAATGTGATGACTTTTCGTAGGTAAAGAGTAGTCCAAGAGCTGGCAGTGGATGGTGTTCATTACTGCCTTTCCTCTAATCTATTTCTATTATGAAGATACATATTGATATTTTTGCAGTACAACAACTTCGTGCCAAAAATTTAACAAAATTCACTCAACAACTTGGGGATGTCTGCTAAAATCTACATCAACTTTCATTCAAAGAAATTTAAACTTCATGATCTATAACGGCTAAGCTCGAGCTCCTTTAGTGTAGCGGCTATAATGAAGCATAGTAAGTACAATATTTGAAAACAATTCAAAGTTAGCTCGTCCAGTACAAGAGTTTCAATTGATAGAAGTGTAAGATGGAGTTCCAGGTTCAATTCATTTACATGTAGTTTGTAGACTTACACATAATATTATTTGCTTTATTCCGGGAGAGAAAGATTTAAAATCCACTCACCTTTCTGTATAAAATTAGTATTTCGGTTGATTCAGCTGTCGGCGAGATGGTAATATAGAAATTATTAAACTCACATTATTTAACAAAATCAACTACTTATCAGCGAAAACTGTATTGTCTACTCTCAGCTAGGTTATTTATGATATACATATATATATATATGTTTGTATTATTTTACTCGAAAAAAATAGATACACCCTACTTTAGCTTTCCAGCTAGATTTTGCGCTCAGGTTTTTTCCTCTTTCAATGAAAACCTGTTAACCATCATGAGGTAACAAAACCCAGCCTATCTAACCCACTTTATTTTCAGGTCACGCAACAACAAAGAAACGACCTCTGTCAACTGATTAGAAGTTCGAGTTATAAGTTAAGTAAGCACAAAAGATGAATATATAAAATCTAAAAAACATTAAAAATTACATTACTGGGAAATGAGAGATGCCAAACAAATATTGAAGTCTAGTAATACGTGGAATCAATGAGAGAAATTGATATTGTGAAAATACATTGCATGGTTAAATTTCAAATGACAGTAGGAAGGAGAATAAATTACACCTTGTTGATGTGTCTTTGCTTGGAAAAGTACTCGACCAAGTGTAGTGGATCTGGAATAAATCAGTTGTGCAGTAAGATTGTAGATGTTCAGTGCTCCAATTTCGTTAAGCTACGGTCGGTAAGGTTTCAAATACAGTGCAAGTGTTCTGTTTCAGTACAAAGAGTTATTTTCCCACTGAATTTCATTATACGTTGAAAGAGAAATGAAAGTAAAAATGGGGGAGCGAAATAAGTTTTTTTTTGATAAGCTATAGTTAGAATAAAATATTTTCTTTTCAAGTGTTTTTATCTCTAAATGCCATTACATGCATACTGGTGTGTGAAGGGTGGATCCCAATTGATTTCTGCTGAAGAAAACTAACTTACTACTTTCAATCCGTTTTTCTATTTTATTCAAGACCTTAGGAAATATAAAATGTAGAAAAGTTGGAAATAGCAGATGATTTAAATAGAAAACTAAAACCGATATCAAAAACTTTATAACAAAACTGGAGAGTTCTAGAGGAAAATCACTGAATCATCATAACATGGAGAAAAAATGACAAAAAGTAAAACTGTAAATACTCAATATTAACCTCTCAGCAAAACCTATAATTAAAGAACAACGAAAGAACATATAGGTATATCAACCGTTAGGGGAATCTAAGGCGTGAAACGTTTATTACCTAGAAAGATACCTAGTATCAAATTCTGATGTGTTTGTACCACACTAAGTGACTTCTAAAGTTATCTAAAAATTACTCTATCGAATTTATAATAATCACATTAATCTAATTCAGAGATTTCTCTCCGCTATTCTTTCCCGTGTGATTTGTCTAAGAGACTTTCAACTACTTGAGATGAAGATAAGAATAGTGTTGTGTTTCAACACTTATCGACTGTATGATCCATCGTGATTTTTTAAAACACGGAAAACCTTTTACTACATTTGTTGATAAAAACCTGATGCATGAAGAAATTTACTTTAGAAACTGCTTCGTTAACCCACCGCTGAATTTATAGGAACTAAAAGATGCAAGAAACGATATGAATCTAGCAAAAGACAGAAAATATGAAGTCATATACACTATGGTCTAAATACGTGTCCTAATCTGACCAAAAATTAATTAATATTATTGGTTGCATTAAAAGGGATTAGCAGTCGCTACTAACAAAAGTATTTCTCATCTTCAAAAAGATGCTCTCACACAAAGAAACTGAAATGGAAGGGCCAAATTATTAAACCTTTGGGCCTAATTTTACAGTTATATTTCAACCAAGTATTGTCATTGCATCAACTAAATTTGATATTAAACCTTAGATCCTATTTTAATGTTACATTTCTTTTGACTTTTTTAGTTGTATCAACTAAATTTGGTACCCCCGATGGGACAGCGGTAAGTCAATAGACTTATAACGCTAAATCCAGGGTTTGATTCCATGCGCTGGACGCAGTAGCTAGCACACTGTGGCTTCGCTATAAAACAAACAAACAACTAAATCTGATGCCCCCCACCAGTGGCACAGCGGAATGTCTGCGGACTTACAACGCTAGAAACCGGGTTTCGATACCCGTGGTGGGCAGAGCACAGATAGCCCTTGTGTAGCTTTGTGCATAATTAAAAAGAAACCAACAAACTAAATCTGATATTAAACCTCGAGGACTAGTTACATCTGTTTTAACTTTTGTGACTGCATTAAATAAATCTGATATTAAGCTTACAGAACTAGTTTCATCATTACATTTGTTCTAAGTTTTGTAGCTCCAATTCAAAATAAATCTTGTGTTAAGGAAACGATGTTCTGTGGAAACATAGTATTTTTTTCCAAAAATGAAACATTTTATTATGCTTATAAATCATTGTTTACCAATGTATTCTATTAGCATAAAGTGTTTCCATGAAAAAAGTATCTACTAGTTTTGTAGTTACATTTGTTTTGAGTTTTGTAGTTCATCAATTAAATTTGATATTCAACCTTCAAGACTATTTTTACAGTTACATTTTTTTAATTTTTGTAACTGCACCAACTAAATATGATATTAAATTTTTATGACTAGTTTCTTGGTTACATTTGTTCTGAAGTTTATAGCTGCATCAACTAAATCTGATTTTGAACCTCTTGGTCCAAATTTGCTGTTATATTTGTTCTCAGTTTTATATCTATAGCAACTAAATATGTTATCGTATTTTTACCTCCGTGTAAATTTTGGTGAATAGCTGTGTTAAAATTGTTTCCAGGTGGTTGCTGAAGTACAGTATTTTTTTAAAGATGATAATGGTTTCATTATAAATAAAAACATATTGATCAGAATACTGATGTTCCTAAAACAAATTAGTAGCTTTCTTGATTTTAACCTTCAGTTTATGCTTCTCAAAGAAACTCCTTATTTCTACTGTTTTAGATAATGAGTAAAGAATAATATTTTATGTATGTCTTTCCCAAATTATCCGTCGAAAGTAGATTTTATGTGATTCAAGAAGAACAATATTATTTTTTATGTTTATTGCACTACTATTACTGTTTTTTATATATTTGCTAAGATTTAGATACACTATTGCTAAAAAATGACGTACAACTCCATTATAACGTCAAGGATGTTCAAATAAAAATACAAATCCTTTTAGATATGTATAGGAAGTTTTAAACCTGCAAGTTATTAAATGCTTAGAGACTTTATGTTACATCCAAAAGCACTAAGAGCATAAGAAATCTTACTAGAAAAGTCTTCCCCGTTAAAGACAGTAGAAAGTTATCAGTCGCTTTCTAAAGGGACACCGAAACAGTGTTTTTTTCCCACCACAAGCTGTATTGCTTTATCTTTTGGATTTGAATAAAAGAATTGTTTATACATATCCTTAACATTGATGTATGTTACAAAAAATGCCTTGAACTTTAACAATTTTTCCTTTTGTAGCAATCATCCTCAGCATGGATCTGACGATGCCGTTGCTAAGCAACGTGCTAAAAGCTGCCGAAAAGCTTGGGTGGGCAGATGGGCGTTTCGCATTCTTTGTCTTACACGTGACGACTACATTATATCCAAAGTTATTACCGTCTTTATCAATATTATCTGTCAACATCCTTAGAGCTGTTTTCGTCGTCACAGTCGTCGCTCCCAACGCCACCTATGGGGAAGTTTGGAAAAAACCGGAAAACGTGGATACTTTTCAGGAATTATTAAACACTACCTCAGTTGTAAGTACAATAGAAACTTTCAACAAAAAAAAATATATTTATAATAGAAAGAGTTATACAATACTTCCACAAGAGATTTTGTAAGAAAGCTTCTAACAGTAGCAACAATTGTTATTATTATAACACAGTAGTTTATAGTTAATTTCGTGTTATGAAAATATACTAAAGTAGTGACTTGTTTGCATCAGCTAAAGCCGTGGCAATAAGGACTGCATATTTAACACTTACGTATTTGGTCCATGGTGAAATTCCTGAACATTCAACATGCAATGCCGCAACGTAAAACTTCTGTTTGGAGACATGTTACAACATTGTCTGACGAAAAATACTCCTTTAGCGAGATTGTTAAACGATTTTGAGCTAGAAACACAACACTTCGAATAAAAGGATTTAGACTGAAGACTATAATTCTAGATGCATACTGTTTGTCTGAGTATTTACAAATACATTATAGTAGTTACTATCCTTAGAAGTAGGTTATAATAGACAGTATCCTAAGAAGTAGGTTACAGTAGTCAGTATCCTTAAAAGTAGATTACAGTAGTCAGTATCTTTAGAAGTAGAATACAGTAGTCAGTATCGTTAGAAGTAGATTGAATTAGTTAAGAGTCTCTACAAAAGCAATTGTGACACTCATAACACAGTAAGAGAGAATCTACACTAACACAATTACCTGAAAATCAAACTGTGGTAAATAAATTATGTCTTGCGATTGATATTTTTACTTGAAAGCACATTGAAATTGTGATTATAACGTACTGTAGTTGCGTATTTTTAAACATCTATAGGAAAGCAGATTTTTTGGCCGTAGACCGTCAGCTCACTTGTGACATTAATGTGGCACGGCTCATAGTTTGGGAAACATTATCTCTTGATTTATGTTGAACTAGTTTGTGTCTTTTTTATGTAAATTGCTTTAAGTACTGTGTAAACATAAACAGATTTAGCAAGTCTTCATAAATAAAATCTCAAAGTTAATATTCAATGATTATCCTCACACACATTGTGTACAAGAGAATCATCAGCAGTGTTAACATCAAATAGTTCTTATGCACTCAATTCTTGAAAAAGAATCTCATCTGTTTCAGCCTCATCACTTGATCTACTAGACATGCTGGAATCAGAGCCATCCTCATCATGATCTCCATGATCATTAAATCTTAATCACCAACAGAATAATTTTTAATGTCACTGTACATGTCTAACTTCCATTTCTTGGCTGCACATTCTAGAATCATGTTAGAAAGGTTTATATCAAATTTCCTTTTCCTTTTTGCCACATACTTCTCCATGGCTGCTTCTATTATCTGTTTCTTTTCCTCATGTGTCCATACAAAATCAGCCAAAGGTGATTGTCATTTTTCAGTTTTGTTAGCAATCCATTGTAAACTCCAATATTAACAGGGACTTCATCAGCTGTAGCTGAAACTAGCAGGTAAGTGTCTTTCTCTGCTGGAATTGAAGCATTTCCATCATCTTTGAATACATCATCATTGCTCCTCTTCAAATTTCTTGCATCTGCATTACCGAAGCTATCAATGTCTTGTAAGACAACACAGGAATAAACTGGTACATCTTGTTTGACTGTTCAAATGAAAATCAGTTATTTTTCAGACCCAGTTGTTTGCCCGACTTTTATCACTAAGCTCTATAAAAGCTACTGCTGAATATAAAACCACTGCTACTTTCTCACGAATGGCTTCTACAGTAACGTTAGTAAAATATTTTGCTCTATTGGTATTATCAAAATTTGAAATCAGTTGTACGCCATTTTTTTTTTGCACTTTAACTAGAGTTTTGAACGCCAAAAGAGATTATCCATCCACGGCAAGCAAGTAAAGTGCTTTAAGAAGATTTCTGTATGCCACCTTAGCTTGTGTATGAGGAGCTACGTTTATCGAAGGTTGAAGATGGACGCTGAAAGCAGAAGGACCATCACTAGTAGTACTACTGGTGCCAGGAAGAGTCTTTCCATCATCTTCAAGCAACTTTTTAAAGCCTTAAAAGCACAAATGTATAGAACTATAAATTTTGCATAAAATACACTGTAATAAAAATAATAATAAATACAGCTATGCTTGAATTAATAAAATAAATGAACAATAGAATCTATGTAAAAGATAATCTGATAATACAGAAATTTACCAGAAACAACATATGTATAGGTCTACCAGTTTATAAACAATAACAAAAAAATCAATGAACAGATAATATTGTACATAAAATAAAAAACAACAACATTTAATTATGTTTAAATTGGTACATAAATAATAAAGGCCACAAAATTAGTTCTCTAATTACTTTAGTATATGCTCGTTTGACATAAAGTTAACAAAGAACCAAATCTAAAGTTCACAAGTAACTTGAACATCAGATAAAGTGTATATCATCAAGTTAAGCCTAGGTCAATAACTTATAAATGTATACAAAGTCGATTAGAAGTTTAGAGTACAATACGCTTAATTAAATCGTTGAATGTGTAACACACTAACAACTGTTTTGGGAACAATCGTTTTTCCTTCGCTTTGTGTAGATGCGTGAATTTGCATATAAAAATAGGCCTATACAGCCATTACAGGCAACTTTTGGGTTTGTCTTTGAATCAAAGGTAATATTATGGTACACTGGCTGTGAAATGTAAGCAGTTGATAATACAGACTGTACGCGTAATGACAAACAACGAAGGGATATAATTATAAATTTGAGTAATGAGTATATAAACAAGATAAGATACATACCTAAAGCAATGTGATATGTTTTGTGTGAACAACGAACGTCATGACAGACTTGATGGTGGTTCTAATAAGCTCTCGCAAAACCCAGTTTACGGGCGTTTACGATCGTCAGTACAATGGCGCCCGTCAAACGTAAAAGCCTCTCTTAGAGCCGATGCACAAACAGGCAATATTCATAGCAGGACTTTACTTCGAAAAAAAATTTTTACTTTGTATACATTAGTTATGCGAACTAAGAAACTAACTATGGGTTTCATTTAACTCCTATGTATTCATAGTACATCAAAAAATATAAGAATATAATAATTTCACTTACCTTTATATCTCCTCTATAAAACACTTCAAAGGAAAACTTGTTTCTAACTTTGAATTTTCGCAGCTTTTTCATGCCACACATTGACTATTATAGTTTAACTGCAAACTGGGAGAACTTACTCCATTTCAGTCAAAGGATAGTGGTGGGGCTTTAATTATCATGGTGTAACTTTAGATTTGACCTTTCTAGAGAGAGAGAGAAGTGACTTTATTATGAGTGTATATCAATACACTTGGCATCAAAGCGTATTATATAATTTACATTTTAATATTATTTAAGTTTAATTTCTTAATTTCAAAAGAAATATTAAAATACATTCTCAATCTTCATTTCTACGTATCACTTGAAGCGCCTCCGCTCTGAATTGCCTCTTTTGGATTTTATTTTGACTCTTATATGAGATTCAGAGTGTCCAACTAACTAGAAAAACGTACTATAGGTATTTTCGAGCCAATAAACAATCTTCAAACCTCTCATTATCTTCCTTTACTGAGATATAAAATGAAATGTCAAACTCACATGACACGCCTTTCTTATCTCATTGCTTTCAAGACATGTCTATAAATCTCTTTGATATTGTTATTGGTCGTATATATATAACGTAAGAAAGAGCTTATTCGTAGTTACAAGATTCCTTATATGGATATTCCATTTTCTCGTCTACAAGTTCACAGTACCCTCAGATTCTTTGGCTAGATAGCACTTTGTTTTACAGCGATAAGTCTACAGACTTGCAACGACCAAATCCGGGGTTCGATTCCCCGGGGTGAACACAGCAGATAGCCCACACATTTTCAAAATTTATGTTTGAAAACAACAACAATTATTTTCTCAAAACAAGCATAGAGATAAAAAAGCTAATTAATTATTAATTTTAAAACAGTTATCTCCAGTTCCTTTCCGATCTTCTTTTGACAGTTTTCTCTATAGCCAGTCCATGCCTGAGTGTGTTTAACAATAGACTGTGTCAAAAAATACCCTATATATGTATACCCACTGTCTTAAATGAAAACCGCTATATAGTTTGTTAAATACAGAATATGTTACCCTCTACAGTTTTATGCACTTTATAAGTCACACACACTTATCTCTGCTACTTAGCATTCCAATTGAGCTAATCGCCATTTTACAAGAACACCGTAATAGCTTTGTTATATTATTTGCTTATTCTTAGCCGAGAAGTAAACGTGTTATTCAGTAACCTTGATATAGCGTGTGTTAAATCCAAGTATAAACATAGAAATTATCTTTATATGTGTTAGAAACCATTAGAGTTATATAGCTATGTAATACGTTTATGATTTTTTTACAGTGGGTGTAAAATGTTTTGTGTAGGCAGAGAAGAGTAGTATTGTGAATATAGTCTTGCTTTAATATATTATTATTATTAGTTATTATATTCTACTGTATCTTGAAAATATGCACCTTTTATAATTACTTAATATTTTTCGTTTTTATTTTTACAAAGAAATAAATATTTAATACACAATTAGCTTTGCTTGTTTGTTTATATCCAACAGGAAGAAGTTTACGACTTCTATCGCCAGTTCTCTTCGGTGTCACTACTTCTCACTGCTTTACAAAGAGCCCATCAAGAAGCTAATGGGCTGAACATTTCGTTGTACACCAGAAATACAGTCTTCCCTACATTACTGGGATTAAGTGAAACGGACGAAGTGGGTGATTTGCTGGTGAAATTTGTGTTACTCGATTTTTGGCCAAATTATCGAGTTTTTAGAGCGGTAGCAGACCTTAATATTGATCACAGAGGTGATCTTCACGTGACCGATAGCCAATGGATTAAAGGTATTGATTGGCCTTTCAATCGACCGTTAGTCGCAGACCCAGACTGCATCATCCAGGATGTGGACTGCTCTAACTCTGGAGATGGTAAACGCTAAATTGTAATTGGATATTACTGAAGATAGATAGATAGATAATAAGGCTAAAAGGTCAGTTTTTGATCCTTATATTTCATTCAAAAATGAGAAGGTCAAAGTGGTATTGAAATCACTGTCGTCTTTTGTTTTATATCACTTACGTAGAACAATTGCTTCTTTACCTTTATCCTCGTGAGTATCGGAATACCTATTTGGAGTTCTTATATTGTTACAGTGCGAGAACTTTGTTGGAGAATGATACTTCAGACTTCAGCTAGAAATGAGCTCTGTTCACAAGCGCACATTATACGTCACAACATACAAGAGCCTTTTCGGAGATTTTTATTTTTGTTTTTAAGCCGTTGGAAATATCCAAAACACATTTTCAAAGCTACATCCTCAATAATTAAAGCCATTCTTTTAATTTGAGTAGAACTCCTGTTAGCCATAGTAGTACTCCTGTTAGTCATAGATGTGTGCTAATCCACCAAAATATCCCCCGATGCAAAAAATAAACAATGATTTTGAGCTTTAAACACTAAGAATAAACTTTACATTTTACAAAATACCTGCAAAAGAACGATACATAAACTAAAAAAAAGCAAAGAATTTGAGCAACGGTAGAAATATTCAGAACCAATCGTTACCAATATTTTTTCTAAAATTTTTTCAAATAATAAAACAATTTTGAAACACTAAATTTGCCCCCCCCCCAGTGGCACAGCGGTATCCCTGCGGACTTAAAACGCTAGAATCCGGGTTTCGATACCGTGGTGGGAAGAGAACAGATAGCCCATTGTGTAACTTTGTGCTTAATTACAAACAAACAAACAAAACAAACACTAAATTTGGTTGTCACTCCCACGTTTTATTGCTTACGGAATGTTTCTTTTACCATAAAAAAAGTCCTAACTGACATTCTACTGTCTTATTAGAGAAAAATACAATTTTTTTATTTGTTAAATAAATACGATTAATATTTTCAAATATTACGCAAACCTTTAATGATCTCGTTTATTATTATTATTATATTATAATCTAAACTACGCTCCTTATCTTCAAGTCGAAAATATGAAATCTTTTCGCAAGAGAAATCACTGTTACCTTGATAAACCTTTTCTTCCTTTAGCCCACATTTTAGATTTTGCTTGTTTATTATTAAGCTAAAGCTTTTGTTTGAAGTTAAGCACAAAGTTACAATGGGCTATCTCCGCTTTGCCCACCACGGGTATCGAAACTCGGTTTATAGCGTTGTAAGTCCGCAGACATACGTTGTGCCACTGGGGGGCCAAGCCAAAGCTACACAATGGACTGTACCCAACGTAAAGATCGAGCCTGAATTTTAGCATTATAGGTCCTTAAGCGTAACCTGACGAATAGAATGCGCTCGAGCATATGTTGGTTGTTTTTAGAATTGTTAAAGCCAATGGGTACTGGCAAAGTTTTGAATATAAATAGAGAATATTTTAAAGAATCTTTATATATTTTTTTGTAGCTTCAATTTATGCACGGATATATAATACAAAATATGTATTACAATTCAGTTGCTGATACTTCATAATTATGCCATCTTCCTTAGATATGACCCCCAACCCCAAATTCATAGAGTAAACACTTCAAAGAATTTCATTTACAAAAAGTTACGTCGGATATTTTGAACTGTATTCAATTTGAAAAACGCATGAATTATTTCTATATTATTCAACTATTAAAAATTGTTGCAAGTATGTTTATTAAATTATCATTTCAGAATAATTTGAAATTGTGCTAATTATTATTATTATTAATTTGGTGTTTTACAAGTAATTAACTAGCACGCACACTTGAGCACAAAATGTTTAAGACATAATAAATTTATTAATAAAGCTGATATTTGTTTATGCTTGATATAAAATATCAGAGGATAATAACTGTAGAATGTTACATTTCGACCCCTAGATGCTACCTTGACAACAGAAGAAACTATTGGTGTCATAATCTCCTTACTAACCTGTGTTACAGTAGCTCTCGGAATTACTGCTTTCATCAGGTAGGCGGTAGTACTATCCAACTATTTCACTTTGTTTGGTTTGTTGATGATTTTAGCAAAAATATACATAACGATCAATCTGCGCTTTGTCCACAGTGAGAAACTGAACCCATTGTTTTATCGGCGTGAGTCAGCAAATGTACAGTTGACCCATCAGAGGACATCTAATTATTTGTTTGCTTGTCTGTAGGCTACTTGTAAAGTTCATTAAGTATCTTTCAACAAGGCAGGGTTCCTTTTTTCTGTCTTGTATGAATGTGGTTGTTTGCTCTGTATCCAAAATAATGCTTGAATGATAATGGCTGGAGACGGCTTGAATGGGTAATGAAGCAAAACTTTAATATAAGTTTAACAGCAAGTGTACAACGTTTCGATAAGGTTTTTTCATCATCAGGTACAGTGGGTTCCTCGTCATCGAATGCTTGAATGAGTTTACTAATACTTGGTTAGGTCTGCATGTGGAAAAAAACAAATCCAAGAATTTTCGTTGTCTCAGATATTCATAAAAACCTACACAAATGCTACCTATTTACACTAGTTGTGCCTAATTTTAAGTTGTTAAACAAGTGGGTTGGAAGCTAATTAACAGCGCCTATAGTCAACTATGGCTATTGTAATCAGACAGTGCGATTTGACACCCATAGTCCCAAACTGTGGGATTCCTTTTTTGGTGAAACAGGAGGCGAATCACGGTCCTTAAGATTCACAGTCAGACATGCTATCCACTAAGCTACGTTCAGCTCAAAATGCACAAATACCCGCAATGTTAAACAAGAGAAAAATAATAGCACTAGGATGAAATACTTTTTTATGAAAATTAGTATTCCAAATAATATGTAACTTTCTGATGAGTTTGAAATTATGATGTAAATTACTGCATAAATAAACTTTTGTTTTAACTCTAAGCAATTTAATATACAACGTTTCAAATGACTAGTGCGAAATATTTGCCATGACCCTGTTTCTTGCAGGGAACAATCTGAACATTAGAAACACTCTTAAACAGATAACTGTTAAACAGTTCCAAAATGCAAATACATAACCAGAAGAAAAATATTGCAAGAACTTGAAATGATCATAAGTAACCCTTGAGATGTTTTCCAGATAAAAAAAAATACCTTTAACGAACCTGTGCATATTAAACGCTCTTTAAATACACAATATCAAGATAAAATAACCATGAACATCTGCAAGGGGATAAGGGGCAAGGAGGCAAGTGTCCCTTGCCCCCTGGACTATCTTATCAAACTTTAAAGAATAACATAAAAGAAAGAAAAAAGAAACAACTTTTGCGTTTCCCTAGTTATAGCTTTGATATAATTTTGTGATCTTACCTCCCTCTGTAATATACCTTGCGGATGCCAATGAAAATAACCCTATTTTACACAACCAAATCAAATCTATACGTCAGTTAAATGCCAGTAAATACATAAGATAAAACTTCACTTAAAGTTTAAAAATGAAAATAGCACAAGATAAAGTTTACAAATCAAACAAAACTGGGATAGTGGGCAGTAAAGTCTGTTGGTATTTTTTTATATACATACATATATATATATGTATAAAATATACGGAATGTACATACATAGTAAGAACTTCAATGTGGTTGCTTTAAAGTACACAACAGGTTCTTTAGTTTTGGGTCCACTCTTTTACTTTCACGGTGGTAACTTACCCAGACCAATTTTTGTCATACCTTAACTATTTCCTTCCCGATTTGGTAAAGTTCATCTTCTGTCTTGGAGTCTCCCGTTTTCTTCTTGTGGTTTTAATCTTCTTCACAAAGTAATAAATATGTCTATTTCTTTGCTTGAGCGTGATAGTGACGCTGTTATGCACCACTGCTTTAAGAAAAAAATTTGCTTGGATAGTGTTCAATGGAGTATGTTGGTAGTTCCTGGAGTTTTACATATCCAACTAACGATGGAATGCTTGGTAGGGTTTGATTGGTGTTTACCGATTAGATTAAAATATCATCCATATCGTGAATAGATTATCAAACTTCACCTTGTTTGGAAATTTAAATTTAGTTCATCCTCCATTACTGCTGATCACTAAATCTTTCATTCTCAAGCAAAAACAGAAGATGATGGCCAGAGAAACAATGGCGACATTGATGATTATCTGGCCTTATATTGAACAAGAACAATGTTTAATGTTGACCCATCAGTCTTGTCATAGATCAAGAGCTCAAATGTCGGCATGGGAGGGAAACCAGTTGAACTTAAAATCCACTGCACCCTGCCACTTCCTTTGCCCAGATGATGCCAGATGTAAATTGCACAATTACAAACTAAAAGCTAAGCCTGTTTTTGCTGCAGTAAATTTGCATACTTTAATAACACTCTAACAATTAAGGTCATAGCTTTTTTTCCATCTGTACATGTGCACTGAGTGCTGTTTTACTTATTGGCTAAGTGCTTATACCGAAGTGCTATAAACACAGCACAAGAAACAGCACTCCAAAATAGTTGACACAACAAACATGAAGCAGAATATTAACATGTTTACCAAATATTGCAATAGAATTGCTGCAGCAAGAACCATTAATACAAACTGTACATGAGATATTGAATCATCTATGCTTAATTCCTTATCAGTTGGAAACTTTACAAATAGTCAACAAACAAAGATCAGGTGATTCAGTTTAAATTCACAGACGCAGAAAGCATATGCTTCAGAGTTTGGAGATTCCACTCTCTAAGTCATTAGGCTGAGGATTATAAGGTAAAATACAAAACTTTACCAAATCTACTTTTACTTTCGCTTCTTGATCAGCGTGAATTTCTTTTGGAGCTTTAAAATAAGTTATCCACTATTCAGTTAATGTGAAAGCTAGTGTCTGAGCTAATGAATCAGCGAGTAAATAAGTTTCAGCTCAACTTTGTAAAGAAATTAATTACCATCGGGGTGTAATAATTGCCAGTTTTATTTTCTGAGAAAATTCTGATGATATCCAGTGCTATACTTTGCAATGGAGAAAGAAAATACAACTCTTCATTGTAGTTGTTTCTGATGTAGACAGTTTTGTCTCTGAGAAGTACACGCAGTACAATGTTAATACCATTTCTCTACATCTATACAGAAATGTAACCAGAAAAACTATCTCTATAGGTTAGTTGTAGTGCGAAACTATCTTTTGATGTTTTCTAACAATGTGTGACGTACAATGCAGAAAATTTGGGTCTTAGGTACTTTGGCACCAGTAGCTGTATGAGCTTTAACAATGGTATAACACTCTCTCCCATACGTAAGACTATTCATATAACAGAGATAGTGTACTTTCATGTTACATTCACTAATTTTGAGAATAAGCAATGTATAAGCTAGATCTGGGTCCTTTAGCTGTTTCTCTTGGTAACCATTAATTGGTGAATCTATCATCGTTCATATAGCCTAACATAAGAACTGATAATTTACCTTTCACAGAAGCATTATGTCTCAGGTCTCGACATGCTACAGAAAAGCTCTCGTGTGCTGACGTAAAAGTCAATTTGCATTTCCATGCTGCTGGCCCAATTGATATTCTATGAAAATATATTCCTGCAGTGTCGGTATGACTGTTATATCAGACATTCTAGCTCTTCAAAGTTCATGGGGCACTTCAGTGATGCATGATTTACTTTGATATAAGTAGTAGTGCTTGTTAAACATTACAACTGCAGTCAGTTCTTTTTTGTCGTGCAGTAATAATATTCAACAAAGGTTAACATCTGACTTGCATATGCTATAACATACAATACACCATACTACTCCTGGAACAGTACTGCTTTGATTCCACTGGTGGAACATCTAATCTATAAAAAACTAACAGCAGTATATCAATCCATTTTGAACTGAAATGACTTTACACAGTCTTACTTAAACCATAAGTATTTCAAAGATCAAAGATGTTGTATTTGAAAAATTTGACCACAGAATACCTATAATATGACACAAGAAGAGCCAACTTTGGACTTCTTACTTAGCTATGACTTTGGGCCGGCTTACTACTATCTCTATATTAGCAGGATCTGTAGATTTGCCATTTCTACTAGTTCTATATGTTTGAAGAAACCCCACAGGATGTCTTTGCTGCTCAGCTAGCTGCCATTCAAGCTGATATGATTCACCACATTATGTATGATGCCATCTTTTTGAGACCTTTCATAAGTTGGTGCTAGTGTTTTAGAGAACTATGTGTGTGTGTAACGAAGTCAATGAATTGCTGACTTGCTATGGTCATCACCATATATTTTGATGCTATTGGCATAGTTTCAGTTGAAAATGTAATATCTTCAACGCCATTCACAAACTTAGAACATACCAACGATAATTTTTTTCTCCACTGACTGTCGCAATTTCGGGATGTGCTTTATCATGCAAATGTTCCAACTGTTGGTATACAGAGCTACATTTTAATGGGTATCACATTTGTAAATTTTGAGTTATCCTGAGAGGTGGCACTATTTTTCCAACTAGAGCGAAACAATGAAACAATTCTGCTACTATAGCTTCCAAGCTGCAGAATTGGTCAGACCTAAAATATTTCGTGACATCAAGTGTTAAACTATCCAACCGAAGCAGCAAAGGCTGTATCACTTGTTACTGTGTTCAAGGAATCCTTGCGGGAAATTTATAAATCTTCTAAAAGACGTGACACAGGTCGTCTTTAGAACGCGGTGATAAAACCCGCTTTATTTTGAAACTTCTTCCTTGATGTAGCAACTAATTCCATTATCAAAAATAGAAGTAGTGTCAGTAAAAACACTGTCTCTGCTTCTCTTTTGGCTGGACACTTACTTTCTATGAGGTGTCATGCTCACTTGAGTGACATGAGCCGTGACTCGGATATCTTGGTGGATGGCTAAAATATAAGGCTCTGGAAAGATTGTTAAAGTATGGGAGAGTATTCTGCATTCAACAGAGGGTTTTTTCGTATCCATTATTGGGGGAGGGAAGACAAGTGATCTCATCCTTAGATCAGTATGTCTCTTTGTTTACTGTAATAAGTAGAGGTTCGAAAATTTTATATTCAGAAGGACCAAAGCAGCAATTTGTCACCGGTTAAATAAAAGAGACGATACTTGGTGTAAAGACAAACAAATAAACACTTTATTAATAAAAACACAGAAGATTTGTTTGTTTGATTGTTTCTAATCAAGCTCAAAGCTACACAATGGCCTATCTGTGCTCTGCCCACCACGTGTTGAAACCCGGTTTCTAGCGTTGTAAGTCCACAGACTTTCCGCTGTGCCATTTGGGGGCAGCACAGAAGAATATTACAGTAGACCGTGATAAGTATATTTTGATTTTAATTGATTTTTAAATTAAAATTTATTATATAAATTAGCGAATAAGTTAGCAAAAGTTAATTAATTCTAAAAGAAAGACACAGATTCAACTCTTCACCAAAATAGCCTATCTAATTGACAGCCGAAACTATTTTTACAATCCACATTTTTTCTACAGTATGACTATTTACACTTTGAACTGCAGTGGATCGGGAATTATTGTTGTTCCATGTAACAGTCACAACATAGTCTCACACTCAGATTATTCTGAAATAGGATATAACATCCTTGACCGATTCATGCTAGACAAAGTAACGCCGAGAGTTAAGTTAGCACGCGATTTTGACCATATTTACCTAGATCTGAACTGGAACTCCCACAGGAATATGATAACATGTTATATATATATATATACTATAACATAATAGAGTATGTTATATATGAGTACTACATACAAGCATACACAAACTATACACACACACACACATAAATAGTGCTTTTTTGCTCATGCAGATCAAATTTATTTATTTGCATTTGTAATTACAATAACTTGGTGAAACTTTATCATCAGTAGTTCTTTACGTTCGGGATTTTTTTAAGGACACAATGAAGAAATTTTATAGCCTCTAAGGGCTTGAAAATGGTTTAAATGATTAAAATCAAAATGTTTTTGTTGGTATTGTTTCTTTATATATAAAAATACCTCTTTGATCATTTTAATTGTGAAGAAATAAAAGCAAACTACCACGTACAGACCAATAATACCAACTTAAGTGTTACTCCTTATGCACTCTTCCCTTTCTGTCTACTACACACGAGGTTTGTCTAGTTAGTTACCCCAAAACTGCTGCTCGCTCACGTGCTCATTTCAAGGGTCATTACAACAGGCCGGGCATTTGACTGCAGACATATGACTGCCGCGACATTTTACCGTCGTTGTAAATGACTGCCGGTGCATTTTACTGCCGGCAAATATTTGTGTTCTCAAAACAAAACATTTCCTAGCACAGTAAACGATTTTAAAAACAGAATAGTAGAGTAATTGTATGCTTTGCAGCTAAAAGAAAAAGGCTATCAGTATAGAGCAAATACATACACTATTATTATGTTTGCATGGATACAAATTTCATGGGCCTAGCATGGCCAGGTGGTTAATATACTCG